TTAGATCCAAGAATCCGTTGTCCTCCCCTACATGGACGACGTCCCCTTCTTCGACACCACCGCACACGAAATACGCGGTGGCATCTTCGACTCCGCCTTTGCCCGCCCGACGACGCTGAGCACCACCGTCACGACCACCGTCACGACGCCCCATAAATCCACCACCGTGAAAGACGAAACGACTGTGACCGTCGACGAGCCGTTAAGCATCCCTGGCGCGTTTAGCGATGCGGAGAGCAGCGATGGCGGTTTACTAGGGAAGGAAGGTAATGTTAGGAAGCGGCGTACGTGGTTTGGGAAGAGGGAGGACGAGGTGACGTCAAGGACGTCGATCGACACTACGTCGAGCGTGGGGGATGAATTAGCGGCGAGCAAAAGCAGCGGCGTGACCGTCAGCATTAACACGAGCGACGACGTCCCTCCGCACGACGAACCCCGCCAACCACGCGGCCGCACCGTTTCCACGCCCTCACCCTCCACCCCCACCTCATCCACTCAAGAAACGATCCGTTCCATGTTCTCCTCCACATCAAACACCTCCAACACCTCCCTCCGCCGCTCCCAATCCCAAGGAAAAGCCCCCTCCACAACATCCACGACGACATCCACCGTCTCCTCCCGCCCCTCCTCGCGCTCTACCTCCCCCGCCGCGCGCCCCAAGACGCCGACGACCCCCACCGCCGCAACGACGACGACGTTCTTATCCCGTTCGTTGCCGTCGTCGCCCTTCCCGACGCGGAGCCAGACGCCGGGGTCGCCGACGCCTTCTAGCGCATCTCAACCAGCCACGTCCACATCCACGGACACTTCATCTCAATCCACGAACGCGAAGGATAAGGATAAAGACAAAGACGGGTTCCTCGCGACGCTCAAGTCCCGCGGGGCAGTCATGGCTGCCGCAGCGGAGAAACAACCCGCGTTCAAGGAAGCGATGCGCAAGTGGGGCGTTGGAATTAATTGGGCGAAGGATTTGAGGAAAGATAAGGATGGTGGTAAAGATGGCGGTAATAAGGACGGCAAGGACGCTAAGAGTGGTGGGACGGATAATAAGGGTGGTGGAAGTGGAAGTGCGGATAAGGCTGGAGAGAGGAGAGAAGACGACTGGGAGGGCGAGTTATGGGGTGGAGGGACGGCGAGCGGGAGTGGTGGTGGGACGAGTAGGGGGAGTTATAGGGATGTTAGGCGGGAGAGGGAACGCCAGCAAAGTCAATCCTCAGCACAATCCCAAAGCCAAGAGCGCACCCCGCCCATCGACATCCCCTCCTCCGACGGTAATTCCAAACCCTCCGCATCACCGCTCAACCCAACCTCAATAGCCACATCCGCTTCCCCCAACTCCAAAGGCCACTCCCCGCGCCGCACATCCTCAGCGATCTCCCGTTCCCCCTCCCTCTCTACCACCGGCTCCGGCTCAGCGCCATACCTCGCCCCCAGCGCTCCACGCACAACCGTCGGCCTAAATACTAGTGCTGCGATCCCGCCTTCTACGGCTGCGCTGACGCCATCGGGGATGAGCTTCCCTTCTATCACGTCGCCTTCGCCGGCTCTTTCTCCGTTGGCTGCGGGTTCGAACGCTAGCACAAGCACGACATCGCAGAACGCCCCTATTGCTAATGCGCCAAACACGAGCAGCCTCGACGTTCCCACCACACCCATAACGCCCACCTCCCCCTCTTCTACCGCACCCACGGACGTCCGTTCCGCCCGGCGCGCCTCCACCCTCTCGTCCCGCACAAAATCCGTCTCGCCTTCCCGCGCGGCCTCCTTATTGCCCCCTTCACCTGATGACGACCCATCAGGCCGACCACATGCTCCGATACATGCGCAGCCGCCGAAGGCGGCGCCGATGATGATGGTACCAGGGATACATGCGCGGCATAGGGGGGAGATCATGGCGATGGGATCAGAGGGGGATAAGCCTGATAAGGAGCATAAAGAGGGTGAGGGCGAGGGCGGCAAAGATAAGGAAGGAGGAGGCACGGGGGGGATAGGGAAGATGGGGAGTGTGTTTGGGCTGTTTAAGAAGGATGTGGGGGCGGCAGCGGGTTCGACATCAGCCTCGACATCGAGTCCTGCGTCGTCGACTGCGACTGGAGGAGGAACGAATACGTCTGGATCAGGGATAACTGGAGGGATAGGGTTAGGCGCACCGCCGCCGTTGCCCAGTAGGAAGGGTGGCGCCGTGAAGGGGCCTACGGCGGTATCGTCGATTGATGATAAGGATAAAGATAGGGATAGGGATGGTGCAAGTGTGGATACGCCGTCGAGTATAGGAGTGGAAGTGCAGGTGACGCCGCCTACACCGTCTGCGACGCTGCCGATCTCGTCGGCGGCTGCACAGCCGACAACGACGACGGATGGGCCATCTACATCTCAAGCACCTGCATCGGCATCGGCATCGTCAACAATAACGCCTTCCACCGCCAACGCCAATGCCAACGAAGTATCGACATCGACATCTGCCGCATCTCAAGACTCTCACGTCACGTCTACTGGCACCCCATCATCGACACCCTTACTCTCCTCCCAATCCCCACCGCCATCCTCATCATCTCAAACGCAAACGCCCTCCCCAGCCTCCCCACTGGCAATCCCGCGCGGTCCACCGCCCCCCCTCCCCACGCGTCGTCCGACCCTCCCAGCCCGCTCTTCACCATCCACACCCACCTCAACCTCCACCTCCACACCGCCCCCTCCGGCATCCCCCTCCCCCGCAGCCTCCACCGACTCGATCCACCTCCCCCCGCCGCCTCCACCGGCGTTGAATCGTGCTTCCGCATCTAGCTCTCATTCACATATCAGTTCGAGTTCGAGTGTGGGGGTGTTGAATGGGATGGGTGGGATAAGCAATACGGGTACGGGTGCAGGAGGGAGTGCGAGTGGAAATGGTGTAGGAGCAGGAGGTGAAAGGAAATGGACGCCGCCGGTGCCGTTACCGCCGAGGAAAGCGAGTTTGTTCGTCACCAATAATGTGAATAGTGCGGGTGGGGAGACGAGGACGGATACGAATGTTGATGAAGAGACGGAGAGGCAATAGGGAGGTGAGGATATGATATGGCGACGTAGAAGAATGTGTTAATGTGTTGTGTTGTAGATTAATTAGTCTGCGATGTGTTCTATTCGTTTCTCCTTCCTTTTTTCATCGATTTATTTTCTTTTGACGATTTTATTTCCTTATTTCTTCTTCACGTTATACTTCTTCCACGTTTATTCACGCTATAACGACCTGCATCCATCCCCACCTCATCGCTCCGTCCCAACTTCAATTTAACGACCCTTAGCTCATGTTCATTGTTCATTAAATCCATTGTCATAACTTAACTTAATGCCATGTATTTGAATTCTGAGTCCGAGTTGTGATTCTGTTATGTAAGTTATCAGGTCTCGAGTGTTGCTTCGATCCTCGGTTTCAAATTTCGTTATTCGTTATTCGTTTTTGTTGTCGTGAGCGAGCGTAAGGTACGGTTGTTCAGAGAAACTGAAACTGAAACAGATAGGTTTACCACAGTTTGACGTCGTGTGGTATAATTACGTCTCATGCTATGAACGTTTTGCAACGAATTCCTCAGGCTCTCGAATAAAATCCCAGAAACCAAATGGAAATTCCGCTTCAGTATGACGCGTTGTTTTGAACTACGTATCTTGCCATTTGCGCAGGTAATCCTGAGGACGATTCAGATGTATCAGGATCGACTCGGAGGGAACAAGGTATCTACCAAGAGCCCTTTCTTCAATGCACATGATTACCGCACGATGGAGAGATTAAGGTGCTGCTCATTTCTTCAAGTTAATAATCATTAAGATGAGGCCACTGGGAAGCTGGAGCGAGAGAGAGAGAAAGACATTTCTACAAATAATTTTGACGCTGCAGGCGAAGACAAATTCGAACGGTCCCGCGAAATATAAGATGGAATGTCTAATGACATATAGCAGGGGAATAGGAATCTTTGTGTTACCTTTCGAAGCACGTTGGAAGGTAGATTAACAATAAATCGTTACTCCGGACGAATGTTATCAGAAGAACGATGCACCGAATTATGCAAATGTAATTAACAACAAAGCTATCAGCTCTCAGGTATTGATTCAATTATCCACAGTTTCGAATTCGTTGTTCGTTATTCTTTCATTACATTGTCAGCCTGAAATACAGCTGTGGAGAGAAAGAGGGGGAGGAGTACTCAGTATATCGCAGTTTAACGTCCTGCGGTATAATTACGCATTATGCTACGAACTTCATTCTGGAAAGAGTTCCTCTTGAATAAAATCCCTGGATCTAGAGACAATTCCGCTTGAGTAATAAATGCAAAATCGGATCCGTTTGTACTACATATCTTGCAAGCCTGAGGACGATATATTATTAATAAGGTCGAGGAAACGTACTTTACAAGAGCCCTTCCTGCACATAATGACCGTCTCACAGCAGCATAGATAGATAACATGGGCTAGTTAGTTTACAACCAGGAAGGGGCTTGGTGAAACGCTGGGTTGAGGATTCAGAGGAAGGGGAATTTGGCATCTCTACGAATAATATTGAGTCTTTGACATCCCATATTTGACAGTGGCACAGAGTTTAAGGGGCAATCCTACCAAATTTAAAGAACATATATTGTAGAAAGGTGTTTCAATGACATCCAATACCGTAATAGGTGTCTTTGAGCTACTTAACCATTCGAGTAGACCAATAAACGTTATTCATCCTAGGGGATTAATCGAGTAATATCAATTGACGAGAGGTTCTCTGTACATTATTACTGCGACACGATGAGGGATTATATTGTAGGCTCTGTCTCAGATTGCCTGGGTAGTAGTAGGAATGGCCATAGTGACTGGACGACATTTATGATCACTGTACAATACTTGGTAAATCACATCCCAAACCAAATGTTATTCGTTGCAAGCAACAGAAGAAATAACCCATCAATTACGTCTAGAAAGTCTGCATGACTATTATAATCTTTGCCCGTCACTGTGTGATACTCCAGTTCCGTTGCACACTCACCGCCTTGCTAGCTCAATCGGTAGAGCGTGAGACTCTTAAATTCAGTTCTTTACAGACTAAATTATCGAGAGATTATCTCAAGGTTGGGGATTCGACCCCCCCGTAGGGCTAGACCTTTTTGATGCCTAAGGCTTTTTACGGACTGGCAATTGTTTTATTATTTGAAGTCCCGGCACTATGGAGTTCTTTTCAGATCCATCGAATAAACGTAATAAAGTATATTTCTGTTCGTCCCAGAATGAAACGATGTTGTTCATACGCAGAATTGCACATCGACGCGATTGATCCAAACTGAGGGACTTTTGCTTCGTTATTGAACAGTAAATTGAATCTTTCAGAGTGATCTTAGCGTTTACATTGTTCTACGAAGCTTTGCTGATATAAACCTTGTTAAAGGCAAAATGGTTGGTTGAGAAATTAGCAAAAGGCATATTAGCTTCTTCCCATTTGTCCGATGATACGAAGGGTAAATATTTGTTCTGAAACTCCCAATTCTCCATGTAACACGTATAAAGATATATATTCCTAGGTTTTTTGAAGTTCAGAGTGTCCCCGGCTTCGAAGCCTGCAAGAACCCGAAGAAGACATCTCCGTGCACGCCCAACTCCCCCGCGTTATTAGGGATCCCATGACTGACGTATCTGCCGGTGACTGGATTTCGCTGGATTTCAAGCCACGTAGGCCGTGTCCTCGCGGGGTCGCCTACTTGAATATATCACAAGGAAGACGGTCCGCAAGGTATTTAAGTATGCCTGGGACGGCTTGATGGTCAAAGTCCAATTGGTGGTAGACTCCTCCTAGATGAGTGAGGTGCTTTAGACTTTGAACCGAATCCATATAACGCGGCATATTCTCCTAACGAGAATTGATGTTAAACGTCATGATATGCAACAGTGTAGGGCATCACTAGGTTTGTGGGTGGATCCATTTCCTCTAAATATAATCGTCCCAAATTCGGCAGTTCTTCCAGGACTTGTATAAGAGTATTCGGACACCGAATGTCGCTTATAATCAGTGTTTTAAGGGAACCGAGGTAAGACGAGATAGAGACGAGATAGGGACCAAGTCGTACGCCGAATCTACCTGGAGAGTTTCCAAACAAGAATTAAGGATTGGCGCATTATCATCCATAATTTGTATGGCATCGGGATCATCCAACCTGACCGAATCGGTCCATAATGTTAAAGCACGAAGCGAGGTGAAACGCGATTCGAATAAACAGGGAATAATATATCGCAATCCCGATATGGCGAACGTCTGAAGACCTTTGTGACAGTCAAGAAAAAGTTCCATACAGGCTTCGACGTCTTCAAACGTGTAATAATCAGGGAAAGGTTGAATGTGTTTCCCAACAAAGGTGAAACGCGTCAGAGTGGACCAGTGGGTTTCCTCGATAAGCAGTGGGAAGGCTACGGTTGATGTATCCCATGTTGTCCGCCGCTGTATTGCAAACTTCTGGATACAAGGTTGATGCTGGATCAGATAATATAGAAAGGCCTCCGTCGTCACCGGGCCCCATGACATATCCCCGATTACAGCGCTTTGCAGTATGCAAGGCGCGCTCTATACCGCCGGAAAATTTCCAGAATATCGATACTTAACCAATCAGGAAGTGTGACAGCCCCGGGGAGTCTGGTCTATTACATTGTTTGTGAAGGCAGGATATAGTCTGGAGTGCTCTAATATTAGTATCCTGGATTTTCCGGCGGTAGCAGAGCACGCCTTGCGTACTACAAAGCGCTGTAATAACGAAACCTGGGTAAGGCGATGTGGGACACTGGTCTCTAAGATGGGTTAAGCAAGCTAAAAGACAAGTTAATATAAGAATACCTTCAGCAACTGATCGAGCCCAGAAGGAATGCCAGCTATAAGGTCGTCGAATGAGACCTCTAATTCTTCTATTTTCGGGCAATACTTGAGCAGTTTCATCAAATCTGTAATTGAAACTGCCGATCCACGCCGACAATATAAAAGCATCCAGATAAATCTTCTCAGGTTATCCATAGATGATAGAATTGGTGATAGAATGTTTTGAAGTTTGGTCAATTCTTCAACCGAAATTGAAGGGATTTGAAACCCACCCTCCAGTCGTGACAGGCCCACTGGCGGCAGTGGAGGGCCAGGTGTGTTATTCAGCAGTTGGCGCTCAGATTGAAGAGCAATTCTAACACGTGCACGCATCAGGCCAGACGAGGCCGCTCCGTGAGGGAATTCCACACCGCATTGTTGCGAGGATCGCACTGGAGATGACGGTAGTGAAGATGGTCCGGGATGGTGAAGTTACGGTATCTTATAGAGGTTAAGGATATCGATAAAAACTCCTTGAGATGTTCAACGTTGCTAAGAACCTTGTCTAGTATTTCCAAAGGCTGGTTTTCGAAACCCATCGTGATGGAAGAGGGGAAGATCGCTAGTCACCGCTGACTAAGCTTACACGTCGGGGCACGTGCACATACGCGTTTTGTGGAAGAATATCCCACCGCGAAAACTCAGATAGCTGTAACAATAACCATGGCTATTAAATAGAGGCTAGGAAGACGTGTAATTCATGTTCTTATAAAGATAACATTCTATATCATCATGTCGATTCCACTCTTCAGGAGCAAAATGATTATTGCCGATCTTAAGGATATTTTCAGTGCTATACCTACTACTAAAACTGTCGCTATTCGCAAATGGAATCGTCGATAGACATTTCCTTGATGCAGTGAACCGTGAATCGAATTGATATGTCTTTCTCACTTCGGATCTCCACAAGCATAATATCAATGCTATACGAAGTTACTCCTTAAAGACTATTGAACGAGATATTATAATCTCGTCTGCCCTTCCGCATCAATTCAGGAGTTTTATATGCATTATGCATTTCAAATTTCAGGTTTTACGCTGTGCAGAGTGTTACGGCATGCCTACTCATTGTACTCATTATCATTGATTACGCCTCAAGGATCATTTCAGCTTTTGCATTACAGGAACAATCACAGGATAATTATTTCCTTCCAAACCTTTCTTGTTGAATAAAAAAAATAATCTTGTACTATCTTGGGAATTCTTAAGGTACCATTCATTTTGAAAGATTCAGAGCCATCCAGTTCCCGAGAATCGTGACATACATATTGCCTTTGTATGCCCACTGAATGTTGATTGTGCGAGACTGTTCAAAGAATTACCCAATGAAAGATCTTGCTAATTATTTTCATAGGATATTACAAGTTTGAATCTTTTCTACAGATAGCCCTGGCTCCACGGGACTGATTATACAAACCCTGTTCAACTTGAAGGGGCCACACAGTGGCATCAAACAAAATACTAACCGCCTTTTTTCAAGTAAGACCGTGATGATATGAAAAGTTCCCTAGGGCTTGAATTATAACATGGTGTCCAAAGTGTTGCTCACGAGCAGAAGGTACTCATCAGATTAGGATGTATCCCTTAGAAGTCGTTTCGGCGTTTGCACGTAAGGCAGATTTAAGCAGGAAAATTAACTATGCGATTCAAAACGCATTCAGGGGCGTACCCGTCGAGTAAGATAGCCAAGTAATTATGCCAGAGGAACTGCTTTGGAATTAATGCTTATCAATACAGGGCGCGATCGCAGCCATACAATAATCAAGGTGGCGTCTGATTATTACTTGGAAGGTCCTCTTAGAGAATACAGGCGTCCTGTAAATATTTATTCACGGAGCAAAGTAACTGATACGCCTGTGCGCCTTCGTTGCTCGCGATACGACAGGGCGATGCTCGGTCTATTCGGCCTTGCAGGTTCCAATGGCACCTAGTGTCCAGATAATTACTCATCAAGCAAGGTAAATACGGTGCGAGGTATAAATACCGTTAGAATAGTCTGCAGGTTCCCCAAAGCTAATCATATGTTCAATAGATTACTCATTGAGTATAACAAATCGTTGACTTTAAGTGCTGCTTACAACCAGCGTCGATCTTCGTACTGCTTTGGATCATAGGGACGGCCCTGGTTCGGCCTCCATCCATTTGGAGAAACGTTCAAACGTTCTACTAACGGAACAAAGAGACATAGCATCCCGGGGGACTCCTGTGATTGGCCCTGGTACTTGCTCATCTTAATATATGGGTAAGGTAGTCCGTGAAGTCCTACCCTGCACGCTTTGCTAAGTAGAGTTCTTGAGTTGTATTCCTAAAAGACGCAATACCTTCCTAGGCATTCATTCTGTCGAAGCTTCTTCGCACACTAACAATTTCAATAGCGCCTAGACCACTTCACGTGCTACCCATTCTACATCACCAGACATATTTAGATGCATAAGAGATGCATAGAGCGTACGGTCTGACTCGATAATTCGCCGCCCAGGTGCCACAAAAAAGATTGCAAACCAAAGAATGCTATAACCTAAGTTCGGACGGTACTGTACCTACAGGGTGGGACTACATATTGAGTAGACCGACCGGCTCGACTTGCCACCTGCCATGCGTCGTTACTACAGTACAAAGTAAGTAGGTACGCTCGTGCCGGAAGCCACACTAAAGATAAGGATGAAATCGAAGAAACGCCTGTGGCAGGATGGATGAGATCGCGTGGCCATAGCACAGATCACCGAGTTCGGCCACCAAGCCAGAGTTAGATATGCCCTCCGATCTACCTTGATTGAGAACAACGGACGTACGCAGCAAGGATCTAAATACCATTTCCGGTCCGAGGAGAAAAAAAAAGAGGCCGAGTGTGTTGCAGTCGGAATACCCATGTACAGGGGTGAAAAGGACAAGATTGACAGGAAACTTCATCTCGTTGGTTACTCATTTCAATTCAGCAAACAAGCTTTAGAGGCCTTATTCAATAGGAACCGGATACCAAATAAGGCAATATTCATTTGCGCAGGAGAATCATAAACCAGGACCGGGCTATTCGGTGAGCCCGCTTATACATGGGGTGGTTTGAATAAAGTTGGGGGACGCAAATCGGCTACGCTCACTTCGGTGACCTATGACGTGTATTGCCATTTGGCTTGGAAGTTCTCGACGCGCCATGGAACGACGGCTAGCGACAATACCGATGCCGGAGCCTGGAACTGAATAAACCTGGTTATGCAGAGTAAACAGATCTCGTCATAGAATGGAATGGTAGCTTCGAGGTTGA